TTTAATTTTTTCGTACACCACCACACAGCTATAGCGCATATGAAACCTCATTCGAAGGAAAATGGAATATTTTACACAAGGGGCCTATTACCTAAATCTACCTAAAACCCCGCGTCCCTCGCTTCTGATTCGTTTGGCAATAAAAAGAAAAATTCTCACTCCTGCCAGACCTGACATATTTAAATGCGAATAAAAGGAACAAGAGCCCTAAGAGGCTAGTGATAATGGCGATGAATTTTTTTTTCTCGGAGAGACGACGGTCGTAATAAAACGCCGTTTTATATCGTTTGCGTTTCTACCATACTTATACCTAACTGGAATATTAAAACACAATACAAGAGATTACGTTAGAAATGGTATTTTATTGCAGTTTCCGCACTAGATTATATGAAGTAAGGACGTCAGTAGGTTTTTTGTTAGGAGAAAAATAAAAGTTTAAGCAGAAGATTCATTAAATGTTAAATAAAAAACCAAACAGAACATCATAATAAATAATTCTCTTTCAGAAATAAAAAATCTATTTCTATTAGATTGAAAACTCCATAGCCATTAAAAGTTTCCGTTTCCTGCTAATACCTCTAGGTAAATAAAACTCTTTTATAATTGGGCGACAGATGCTTGTAGCAACTGAAAAAACAACCAACTCTAACGAAAAATTAGAAGGAACCTCTATCTTTATCCAGTCGTTCGCCATCCAGAATATCCCGGGACTCGCGAAATAGCTGGTAACTATTCCGATCACGTTCGCCCGGCCGGGGCTAATTGCGCTTCTTCTCAGAAATTCTCGGAGAGATTTTAGTTTAGCGCTTTATTCCGGCCCGGCATGCTTTATCTGTTCTCGAAGCATTTGCTTACGTGATTCTTAATTACTTCATTAAACCACTTTTCGCTCTCGTTCGTCTTTTTCGCGAACCGACAACAGGCATAAATTCCTCGGATTTTAATTAGCGCATAAGAGCTTTCCCATGTACCTATGGAGACGCCGGATTTGCGGTTAACAGATGCTCGATTAATTTACGTTTGTGCAATACTTTTTGTATATAGGAAGATACGTTTCAAACTTTCAAGACCAGTTCATAATACTTCTATCAGGAAGACTTGTAAGGAAGTTAAATAAAGGAACAAACGATATAAAAAGTCCTTTGTTTCCTGTCCCCGACATTCGACCCGGTCCTGTTGTTGGTGCGGATGTTCTTTTCCCTTATCTTTTCCTCTTATAATTGGCCACATTCTTGTACAGAAACTAGCAATTTAAAGAAGGAAAAAGGCTGCATTTTCGCCGCAGAGCAAACAGAATGTCTCCCTTTTGAAGTGATAGCCGCGTCGCGCAGTGAATTTCGGATAACGTCGCGGAAAGGTTTTCCTTTTTCGCGACGTTTTGCTCGTTTCCTTGCAAAAAAAAATCAACCACTTCAACGGCGACCGCTTAGAAATAATCTTGCTCTCGAAACAATAGAGGGAACGTCTGTTTGCTTTAATGGAATTATTATAAGGTACCGATTTACACGCTAATTTACTGAACTTAAAGGTAACGCGAGTCTTCCGAAATTCGATAAGTTTCTTCAACTGGAGGGAAAGTTTTCGATCGCCTCCATATCGACACGGTCCAATGTCAAACTCTATACAAACCATCCGTCCCCGTGCGGCGAAGTTTCCGAACCGTCTGATAAATCTGTCTTCCTTTCGACCTGTTCGAAATTAATTCCAAAGAGATTTTATTACGAACAAGAAAGAAGAGTTTAGTTCGACAAACAATGGCGCGGAATCGAGACGTGGAAGGTCTTTTGTGTTCTCGGCACGAAGGCGAATTGCTTGGATTTTTAGATTCTTGACGCCCGGTTGTTGGAAGTTTAATAATTAAATTTCAGTTCCTATACAACATGTATCGATATGTAAAAAAGAGTAGATTGAGCAATCATTTCTATGCTAATATCTATAAACGTTCGGTAAATCTATTGGAATGATTGCTCATTCGTAACATGTGCATTCGAAGCGTAAACGCTTTAAAATAGATACTCCACATATACCGCAGAAAGCAAACCGTGTAGCCCGTAGCATTTAACCCGCTCGGAGAGTGGCATCCCCTGTAATTTTCCAAGACATTATGGTTAACAATCCCAAGTTCACGGCGGCGTTTCCTTCAAAACAATGCCGGTCTTAACGAGCCCCTCTCAGGACGGTTGTATCAAGTAAATTCGGCGAGAGGAACAGCACCGTAATCGGTCCCTTAATTGGTCCATTGAGCTCCAAGACGGCACCTCGGACTAATCTAGTGGTCCATTGATTTTCGGATAATGGATGTTTCTTGTGGGATAAGCAGATCTGCATTGTGTTTAGTTTGCGGCTTTGTTCGCGTATTAGTTCATTAGTTGCGTTCGGACTTAAAACCGATGAATCGCGGTCGCGGGGAGTTTTAAGCTGTATGTAGGGCCCGCCGTGGTGGAGAGTAATGTGTGGCCGCGTGGAGAACAAGAAGGGAAATTTAGCTTTGCTCAAGAAGATTACTACTATGTGTTGCATTAAGAAACATGCAAAGTGTATCTCCGGAGCCTGCTGTGTTGGTCTTAAGACCAAGTCTCGTCGATCAAAGTCCTTTAGATCTATCTTCGCTACACGTTGGTGGAGTTAATTTATTCTCGCTAATAAGTAGATATATAAACATTTTCAAACGTTATTGTGGAATGTTAAAAACACCATTAATCTAATAGCACTGTGTGGAGTTTATGTAAGTTGGATATCCTAAACATGATCAACAGTAACCTAGTGTTGACGGAGTGTGTATAAAGGAAGGCAACAAAGAGATAAATTTATGGATAGAGGGAGAATTCGAAGAAGGAATTTTTATTCCTCTTCGCGAAATTATGGCCTGTTGAACACGGCGGAAGACACGGGAATGCCTGCGCTATTTTCCGGTGAATTTAGCGCGGCCGTGTTCCGTGACAGATGTTTTAATTTGAATATTCGAAGCAGCCAACAAAGTTGTTTTCTTTCGTGAAATTCAATAATGAAATATTCGAAAGGAATAATAATAAATTTTTATACGTTGTTTTTTTTTGCAAAACAAACAAACCTTGCATAAAATGAAAAATTCGAATTTTCACGGGGAGTTCTTGTTTAAAACAGAATTCGATTTGTTTGTTTTCAACAAAATTGCGATAAATTATGAGCGTTTTTCCTGCTTTTTTTTTGCTCGTTATTTCTTGGCAAAGATCGTAAAGTTAAAGAGATGGGTTCATAAGTCAAATGAGTTTGATTTAATTAAACCCACAAAGGAAGAATAACGACCTTTTATTCTTTGCCGCTTTCCTCGCCCAATTATTTACGTTTATGTAACAAGAGAAAAATTCGACTTATTAGTTTATCTTTGTGGCCCTTTTTAATTACCAACTGACGTAACGAACAATCCTATAAATTCTCTTATAATAAAAAAGGAGAATCTTTTTTAAATTACCTACTACTACTTCTACTGTTTGTACAAAAAACTAATCTATTTTTTTTAGTTCCAGGTAAGAAAAGCTACCTTTTCGTTGGGCAAGTAAGTAAAAAACTTTGCGTAAAGTTCGCCCCAACCCCGCTTTACTTCATTTTAATTGTATAATTAAGCGTACGTCTTATTTAAGGATCACTTAAACTGTCATCTTAACCTTAGCGGCGTCAAAGAGTCTTGCTTTCGTAAAAGAACTCGCCGAATGTTGCGCTTTTCCGCTCGTTAACCAGTTTGATAAACACGCCCGAACGCCACGCGTCACTCGACAATCCCCCGAGGAATTCTAATTAAATTCCGATTTACTATCCAACGATTTTCTAATTACCTCACTCCCTCGCCCACGACGGCGCCTCGTTACGGAAAATCGGACGGAAATGTTATGAAAACTCCGTTTTCTTACAACTGTTTTGCCTTGCGACAACTCGATAATAAAACAAATTCTCGAACGAATAATCCATTTTGAGCGTCGCTATGAACTTGTATATTTTTCTATTACCTTCGAGCTTTTCCGCTTTGAATTAAAAAACAGAGCAATTTATTAAGGGACTGATGTTTTATTTATATCGAAATACGGTTATATAATTCTCATTTTTTGGGCACTAAAAAGTTTTTGGAATTTATAACAGCTAATATGAATATTGCTTTGGAGTGGGTGTTTGAATATTTCCCAAGTGACTCGTCCCTCAGGAAATTCCTCGATGACCGACGGCAAATATTATTTACCGGAATAGCTATTGCTACTCTACCCTTTTTTTCAACTTCCACTTGAAGTAGATATTTTTAAACACATGAAAATTTACTAGTCAGGACCTGGAGAAACTTCCCAATGGTGCATTTTTCCTCCTGTAACTCCCAACTCTCGGTTGTTTAAATACAAAAACAAAGCGTGCAATTACAAAGCGGGAATTTTTCGTTTATAAATTCTAATTCTCGGCTTCCTAACGTATAGGGAAAATATTTTCATACTTGTCTAAATATTTGCATCGCCGCAAAATACGTGTAATGATTTACGGTATAGTTGCCGGGCCTTATGAATTTATATTACACCTTGAATATTATATGGAAAGCGAGAATGCGATATTTTAAACTGGAAACGAAACTAAAAACGTTGAGCATGATTTATTAGAAATTCGTGGAAAACGTTTTGCGGGAACGCCGTGAAAATTCGATGAAATTATAGTTTCAATTCCGCTGTTATCTCTGTATAGGAGTCCCAAAAGAAACCAGAAAATATGAAAACAAGCCGTTTATTAAAAGAGGCATTCGTTTCTTTGATTAATCACCCTTGCAGTGATATGTATTTTCTGGTGTCTATCAGACGCATGAAACGCCACCCCCTAAATCCTAGGGATAACTTCCCGGGATTCGACTTGAACGGAATTTTGGATTTCGCAGTAATCTTCGTTGACAAAAGGAAGCTGGAGTCCATTTCGTCGTTTCTAATAAATTAGATTTCGTGATGGGACTGTTTACTTTCTACTTTTCTCGCAACTCAATAACTTTAGACACATTTTAATAAAAGAATTATATTATTTTGTACTCCTTAACAATACACTCTACACAATTAAATGGATTTATACTTTTTATCTTATCTAGACTTCACACCATTGTAACGGGCTTGAGAATTGGTTTGGGTGCTTTGATGGTGGACGCCGTTATTAAAATTGTATTGAGGAATAGGTAATTGTTTCGGGCGATAATATTGAAAGTGATGACTATTCATATGATCATGGTAGGGATGATTCTGGTGATTCGTAGGTACAGGATAATTGGGGATACTTGGAAAAGGTTTATTCATTGGAGGATTAGGCTGTGACTCCCCGAATCGATTGCCAATGGTATTCGCAGTCACCGTCAACCATCTGTCTTTAATGAATTGCACACCTCTTTCGGCCATCATTACAATCGAAGCATGAGTGTTTCCGGATACTAATTCTGGCATAGCGGACGCGTCCATTACTCTTATTCCATCGATACCATGCACCATTAGTTTGCTATCTACAACGGCGAGTCGGTCCGTCGACGGGCCCATTTTTAACGAGCAAGCCTGGTGGTTTTCTGGTCCGGTATAGTACCTAATGGCGCAACCCCAAAAATCGTCGGAATCGAATCTAAAAAACTCAAAATAAACATCCGAGCCCACAATTATCCTCTATTACTTACATGTGTTTCTTAGCGCAATCTCCGGGCTCTTCTTTCAACAATTCAGCGCCGTATTTCTGTTTCATGATCGTAGTGTTCATGAGTTTCTGGATAACTCGTACGCCGTCGATTAAAACAGCCAGATCCTCCGGTTCGGTGAGATAGTTGGCGACCATGATCGGCGGTTCCATGGGGTCCTTGGATCTAAGAGTAATGTAGCCTTTGCTTTTCGGATGCAGAGTAACCGGCGACAATGTAAGAGTTTTGGGGAAATCCGGCTTTTCCGGTTCTTCCAAAGATTTGGCTTCTCCGGTTTTCGCGCACTTGGCGAGATAACCGGCGAAGAAGATCTGGAGATCTGGATGGGTGCCGCTCGGATCAGCGTACTTGGAGTTTATTCGAGCGGTCACTTGAGACATTCCTGGATAAAAATATGAAGTATAGGATGTTTTGATAATAATGCTAGTCAGTTAATGTACCTGTAGAAGTCATAGGTCCTTTTCTGTTGACTATGTAATTCAAAGCAGTCGCCCAGTCCAAGTCGTTGTAGTTCTTTTCTTTTTTTAATAAATACGTTATGTAGAAACTGACGTGGTTCTTGAGGTTCTTTCCAACGCCCGGTAAATCATGTACTTGGTTTATACCTACCTATAATAACCAAGCGAAATTTTTATTATTCGTATTAGCAATTAGATTGATTGGGAATTAACCTTATCGAGATCCTCTTTAGGACCAATTCCGGAGAGCAGTAAAATTTGCGGTGAATTTACAGCTCCAGCGGCCAGAACGGCTTCTTTTTTCACTTTGACCGAGTAATTCCTTCCTCTGTAGACGAATTCGATAGAATCGATGATTTTCTTGTTTCCCTCGGTTCTCAGTTTTATTTTGGTTGCGGTAGAATTTAACATAACGTGAAGGTTTCGGTTGAACCTCTGCGGTCTCAGGTAAGCCCTGGCGCTGCTCAAACGAACTCCGTTTCTGTTTTATTGGCAAAAAATAATAATTTATGTAGTAAAATCTGATTAAACGCGATTTTAATCATGCAATCAAAGCCGAGTTTATGATTTACTTCTGCGTTATTGCTCTTAGCAATAAAATTAATTAGATCGCTTCAAAGTAAGAATTCCGCTATAAAGTAAGGATTTTGATTAAATTTCATAAAACTTCGATCAAATATTACGACGTCACGATTTTTTATGGAAAAGTTTATTACGAATAAAAAATAAGAGTCATTTTTACTGGCGAGCTTTGAGAGAATGCGGAAAATATTTTTTTATGAAGCTGTTGAACTCTAGTTGGAGCAATACATTCCAAAATATGAATAATTAACTAAATCGTTAGTTTATTTAATAACATAAATTCCACTGTAAATTTGCGTGGATGGTAAAAAAATCCTCATTGTATATAATTTATTGGCACAAAAGCCTTCACCTAACAATAAATCAATTATTATTAATATAGATTTGGATTAAAGTAAAAAAATCTCATAAATATGGAATATTAACAAAATTTTACGACTCTCTAAAAATTTATCCAGTATCTACGATTCAGACTACAAAAAAATTTTACGATTATTTTATGTCGCCTAACATCAATGCCGAAGAGTTATTTCAAATTTTTATTGTTGCCGGAAAATATTCTGCAAGCATTGCATTTAAATCGTATTTTTACAACATGTCGAATGCGTTGATTAAATTTATTAAACGAACGACGAAAAAGTAATATCAACTAAGTTATTACCTGCGTCAATGTTGTTTGAAAATTAAATATTAGCGTTTGGAGCTCGAAACAAAAACGTTTCCTACATTTAACGAACCATTAAATATGAATCGACGAAAATATTAATAATTCTGAAAACTTCCACTTAACATGTCGTATTTCTTGTTTAACTTCATGAAGTTGTTATAGAGTTTCGAGTTTCTGTTGGTTTAGATTTTCTAATATTTATGTCAATCAGAAATTATAAAAGCATTTCATCCGTGTTATGCACGATTGTTTAAATTATCGTGTGTGAATTTACCTTGTATTCGACTGGGCTATGGCGAATCCAGTGTATTGTCTGCCGTTAAGGTCCTTGCTAGGTCTGTATCCTATTTCCAAGGAAGCGTTTAAAACATCGTAAGCCAGTGGCGGCTGGTCAATAAATCTCATAGTCGTCACAGGACCTCCTCTACCGTGATATTCTTCCTCTACCAAAGTGCCTATTTCTTTGTTGTCTTCGAAGCTTTTGAATACTGGCAAAACGTCCTTGTAGCTCCAGCCAGGATTTCCAGCAGCCTCCCAATTGTCGTAATCTGGAAAAAATAGTTAATATTCGAAAAACTGGTGCTCAGAAAAGAGTAGATTCGAAAATTAGGTGGTTGGAATTTTAAGGAAAGTTAAGGAAGTTATTATAGTTGTAATTTACTATTTGGTAGAGAAAGCCGTGGAGAGTTCTTTATTTAATGGCAATTGGTAATAAAATGGAGTTATTAAGGATGTACATAACACAATTCCAATATGTTCTGCGATGGCTTTGTTGAAATATTTATTTGAAGCGTTTATTGAACTTTGCGGCTTGGTTTTAGCGGTTTCCACCATTCGAGTGACGAAACCGTGAACGTGTATAAATTTAATTTCTCGATAAATCTCGAAAGGAAACACATTAAGTGGTTATAAAGGTAGTAGGTATAACTGTGTGATAATAATAGGGAAGTAGTTTGGTTTCTTCCTTGAGGAAGTCGATATCACTTGTACTATTTATTGTTGATAAACGCCGGTTCGCAAATACGTGTTTTAATAAATTATTACAATTGGTTCAAAATGATTAAATATGCTGCTACTAAATATAGAAATAAGGTTTTTCCAATATTTAAATTCAACAAAACGGAATTATTAATCATTAATATAGTAATTTGTTCTGATCAGATATCGTTAAATCTTTCGACTGTTCACTAATCTTGTTTGAATAAATAAATTACTACTAATTTATGTAAACAATACAATTAAATATATAAAAAAACTGGTTTCTGCTTATTTTTGGGTTCAATAACACACATTATTATGCAACTATACTACTTAATCAAAATTGAGTCTAGTATATTTAATACGTATACTAAATTGTGTTTCCCCAAGATTATTTTCCCTCGCACGAAGCCGTAATTTAAAATGTAAATTAAAATCGTGCACGTTTTTTCTATCCAAAAATGTCCAGACAAACAATTTATTTATGCGTTTGCATTGTACAATACAACACAATCGGTAATAGAACCCCCCTTTTGATAATCCTATTGCGTGATAGGCGAATCACAATTTAGAAATTCCCGAAGCAAAAAAGAAATAAAGAGTTTTCACCTCTGGGCGTTCCTCGAGTGTACATCATGCCATTGATAACGCTGCATCCTCCGAGGACCTTTCCTCTCGGCCAGCTGCAACGTTTTTCCGGGAATCCTTGACAAGCGACCGGTTCCGGCTCGGTCTTGTAATCCCAATCGACGTATTTGTTGCCGTGATAGTTCACTACCATCGATGGTACCTGGAACGTAAAAATTACGAATTGTTAGCCGTTAGTTTTATTATTAGTTTTATTGATATTTTTTAACGATTCGCCTGGAGCTAAATGGATTGTATTATTTGCTTGGTATCGGCCTCGATGTAAAATGTATATTCGTCGTTTTTAACGACCAGTATTTAAATTATTCATTAGATTGTGGTGAGTGATTTTTTTGTTCCATCTCGAAAATTCCCAGCTTAATTGGAACATAATTTGTTATCGTTTTTAGGTAATTACTTATAATTAATTCACAAATAAATATTTGTACCTGACTACCCGGTGGTTCATCATTTCCAGCTTCTATCAATAGTACTTTCCAACCGGGCACTTGAGCTAATTTTCCAGCTGCTGTAGCTCCACCACTACCACCCCCAATCACCACGAAATCGTACTCCGGATCCGGAGTTCTTCTGGGAATCACCTAAAGCAGATCAACATCTTCTGAGTATCGGAAATTTAGTGATGGGGTGTATTGTATTTACCCTTTCGCAGACTTCGGATATATCGCAGGTCTTCCTGATGAAGGTGTCTAAAAGTGTCATGAATAAATAGACGGACCCGTAGCCGCAGGTTTGGTCCAACGATGGGCCTAGAAAATTCGCAGCACATCCACCGCACTCCATTTTGCGACGAGTACCCGGCGAAACTGATGGCCCCGAACGCGACTGGGAATATAAATGGTTTTCTTCGAGAGTATTACGCAATAGTGTGGTTAATAATAATTTAATTTTAACGAAATATATTTAATATAATTTTAATGAAATTGTTTAAATGTTTTTAGTCTCGTCCTGTTGCTTGATTAATGGGTTATCGGATGTATTGAAGTTGAGATAAAAAATTGTGTTTTGATGTAACAAATTTTCGTTTGGTATTGTTCGTTTTCGTTTTGGTTATATATTTTGTTATTTTTCTGAAGGAGTTACTTTTTAGGTGATTTTTTTAAATTAAGGTAAAATATAGTATATTCCATAAAAACCTATACCTCAGAAAATCTAATATAATTCCCTAAAATGCTCCTATATGCTAAATTTGTATTAATTTTTTACACCGTTCTTCAGAATCTTCAAGAATTTGATCAATTATTAGACCAATGTTTTTTTTTAATTAGGTAAGTATTATTTTCTTAAGAGTAATAGTTCCCTTTGGTTGAATTTGACCGGGCTATTATGGAAGAACTGTTACTTGGCCAAAACTTATCTGTAGTCTAACCGGAATGACGCTGTAAAATCGGGTTATTCCGATTGAGAAACGAACGAATTATGAATCCTGATGCGATTTAACGCTTTACCATTTTGTGTAAACTTTTTCAGTGCCTAATTAAAGATAATTGTAGAATTAATAAGAATTTTCCCGGTTCTGGAATTTTTATTATTTTAGATGATTTAATAAGGTTTTGATCGTTTTGGAAATAATAATTATTTTTTGATTAATTATTTTATTCCAAGAATTGTTGATATAAATATCTGCAAAATCGTATAAACTAGATACATAATTTAAAGTATTCCTAATCCAATTTATTTACCAATATGTATATTTTTTTTCTTGAAACGTATAAAGAAATAACGCGTTTTCCATATCACTATTACGTCTCCAGTATCGATTACGAAACTGGCATATTTCGAAACGGAAATCCATCTAAATTGGATTTTTATGCTGCCTTTTCCAGAACCCTTAGCGGCGATATATACAAAGTCAAAAACAGCGATCTCGTTCGGCGTAAAAAACAAGATGAACACCTATAAAACGACTGACAAATTACACTTTTACACTTACGTAGATGGAAAAATAAAGAAAATGAAAGAAAATGAGATTGTTACTCGGAAAAAACCAGAAAGGGAAAATATCCGAGGAGGAAACTCGTCTCAACTCGCAACGACCCCATTCGAGAAATTCGAATAATTATTTCGGCGTGTCAACGAGCAAGATCTTATATATTTAAATTATCTTTTTGGGGAACGTTTCTTGGTTATTTCACAAGTTTCTCAGTTAACCATAAAGTAATTTTTTATTTAAATAAGACAAGAGTTTCCATTTATTAAAAATATCTCATTTAATATATACTTCTTCTTTTCGGAAAAATCTCCCGAAGATCCCTCGGGATAACGTGACCTGCGCGACGATATTCATGTGTATTTGTTTCGCATTAATATTGAGTGGTCATGTACACGTGTAACATATGTGTCTGTTTGTAAAGCATGCATACAAATGTGTAGTTATGATTTCGGTTCGACGCGTGTTGTAATATCGATGCAATTTTGTAAAAAATATATGCCGAAAAAAAAGTTTAATCGCGACTGCATCATTGGAAATAATTGGCCATTCGTCTGTCGACACTATATTTAATGGGAAATACAGGAAAATATTCAGCGATTTCCACCGATTGGATGCTTAATGAGATCGCCTGGAGTTAATTACAAAGCTTGAGCAGCTTGTAGAAGATACTAGTGAGATATAGTTAAAATGATAAGGAGCTTGTGAAACTGTTGATAATCTAGTATGTATTTTATTCTTCGTTGGAGAGCGGACCAAACAAAATAAAAAAACTACAAATACTTTTTATATCCAATTACAAGCTTTATATTATTTATTAATTAATGATGTGGAATTTCTGCAATACGACGAATTTTTAATCGAATTCGCATAAAACAATAATCACCGATTTCAGTAACGAATAACCGACTTTAACAGTGTTAGATTAATTAAATAAAATTCCATAAAATTGCGAATCGGTTTTGTAATTACTCATTGAATTTATACCGCTTTGTAATCCAAAGCATTTTTAATTTCATTAAATTTACAATGGTTAGGAAATATTGTATATTTGTAGTACATTGTTTTAATTACAGCAATATTTGCTCGTTAAAATCTCGGAGCACTGATAGCTCATTCGAGGTCTCGCTCACTCCGCAAGCTAGCCTTTTGCATCCAGCTCGCTGCACGAGCTCGAGTCCTATCTCTTTAACAACTATTAAAACTTGGATTGTCAGTATATAATAGCAGTCAACAAGGGAACATAAACATCTGCATAATTAGTCGTCGGCGTTTCTATGCCATCGTCGCCTTCTGAGTAGCAACTTTCCGCGTAAAACTTCCGGAAATAAGTTTTCGTTACGTCGCAATCGAATCCGGCGGTGCCGGAGTTACAACCATCCAGCACCGCCGGCAACCCTGACACATGCAGAGCGCTTATTAGGAAACTCCACAACTATACTGCAAATGGGGAAACAATCTTAATCAAAAAGTTTATTGTTCGAAAACAAGTGGAAGATTTCCTTATAACAGCCCGCCCGTCTACTTCGAACAATGCGAATGCATCGAATTTCCAGCTGCATCTCCGAGTAAATTTCGTTCTTGTCAACCGGGATAATGAAATAGTGTTTGTCTTATGAAATTTGCTGGTTGCAAGGTAGGAAGTTGGAAAATTAGAAAATATTGATTTTCATTAGCTTCATACATACCTATGATGTTGTGAAGCCACGCCTGACGTTATCACAACATTTTATCGCCTCCTAAGAAATGCTAAATTTATATTATTTGGTAATTATTTTTTGATATCCTAAAATCGCGAATGGTTTAATTGAAACAAGCATTTACGACTCGACGTAACAATGCTCTCCTCATTGTTCGGAAACACGCATGTTAAAATGCGATACATACTAAGTACTTCTGGTGAAACATTGCCGTTTTCCACGTCCTTGATATTTACAATTTATGGCCGACAATGTTTATCTAACGTTCCTGCATAATTTATCGCTTCATTATAGTTTTTCGTGCTCGAGCTCTTCGCCATCAATGAAACGTAAATTTGCGCCGAGAATTTCACTAGGAACGGAGTTTTCTGCACTTAAACGTTGCACAACGAAATTAATTTTCTGGATGCATTATCTTAAAGCAGAATGTTTAAAGTACCTGCCTGTTAGTATAGCGAGAATAACATAAAAACGTCTCATATTTCATTTTATTCTTTACATGTAAACTATAAATTAATTAATTAATTAAATAATTAATTAACATATCGTTTCTCGTACCTAGTATCGTGAAACGGCTTCGTTGAGGATTATATTTGTTCCGGTGATTTTATTTTGTGGCGATAATTTAACCTGATATATCAAACAGGAATGGTTTCGGAGGTTATTTAATAATTTACTTCCACTAATTTCCACTAAACCCCCACGTATAACTCAACTTTTCTCATTAAGTATGATAAAGTCCGCGCGACTGTTAGATCAGTTTTATACAAGCGTAGGTGTAGTTATAGTTTTAATTGGGTCGTCGAGGTTTTTCGTTTCACAAACAAATTATAATCTAACGATAACATAACAACAAAAAGAATTCGTAGTTGCTCAAACTATCTGGTTTTTATTTTTGCCGTAGATGTATAAAAGGAAATATTTTACAACGATACGCTGTACCAGCAAAAATTAATAACTCCCATAACTCTACCTTAATTAAACAGAGAACTAACGAGAAATTAGCATAACTTGAGTCGAAACTTCCATCTCGACGTTTCGAATTTAATTTCCCGATGAAATTATCATCCGTCCGAATGATAATCCGGGCACGTAGCTCGCGCCGCATTTCCACGCGAAAACTAGTAACGTTACTTTAAAAAGCTCCGCATTTTTAAAGTTTTCCATCCAGGCCTTTCGCGAGGTAAGGTACCCCACTCGAAAAATCCATTAACTCGCAATAAAACCGGCGCTTCACGTGCTTTTAGTACCGCCGATATAAACTAATAAGGTAATAATGTTCATTGCATAATTGCCCGGTTGTAATTTAGAAGTAGCTAATTTTTCAGAAGAAACGTTGGAAAATTTAAATGACAAACGCGTAACAATCGGCAGGAAAGTGTAGGGAAAGTTCACAAGAAATATACCCCTATTTAGCGGAAAATATCCCTTCGACTAAGCGCCGCGACGTCGACGTCGCGTCGGCTTATTTTTTTAATTACTCCATCGCATCGGGCCGCGTGTATTTTGCACGGGGGTTGTCGAAAACTCGCCGAAAAATGTTTTCGTGCACTTGCCATTAATAATCGCTCCTCGCCCTGTCAACTCGCGTCAAATGGGCGTCTTTTATCGAATCTCTTCTTCATTTTTGCGTCCTCATTTAATCGCATCGAATGATCGTGTAGCGGGCGAAATGGGGTCGACAGAGCGGAAAAAAACCCGCCGTTTTTAATTTATGATGTGCTTTATGAATTTTTTGGCAAAATATTTTCGAATCCCGACGCACCGAATTCTCACAGATTCACGCTAATATTGTAAATGTAAATGTATAATTATTGTAAATTGGATTAAAACAAAGTGTTATTTCCGCAGGTGTAGTTTCGAAACAATTCTGCAGCAACCCTCGTAACCAAAAACATACGAGTGTTAATAAAAAAATACCAATAAATTAAGGGAATTACAACGAAATAAAACCGTCCAGTTTACCTAACTTTTAGCTAGTTTTTATCTTCCGGAAAAGTGAGTCGGGACAAACGAGTATTTAAGAGATAGTAATCGAAACAATAAAGCCGAAATGCGCGCAATTAGGGGGCCGCCGACTTGTCGGCTTTCGGTTAATTTCCTCGGGCGCGGGCGTTGTGGGGATTAGCCGACAGAGGAAAAATCGGATCGACGCCCGAAAAGGAAATGAAAATCCATAATTCGCGCGCTTTGATTTAGGCCGGTTGATATTTCAGGAAGCCGGGATTCGATTGGGATTAGCGGGGTAGAGCGAACGTATAGGAACTTTAACGCGTTCAAGGAACTTGAATACGCGTGTAATGGTGATCGATAATCCCTTGGATTGACTGAAATTAATTAAATTTTCCGTAAGTGTCCAGAAATTTTGTACGAGAATCTTCTAAATAATATATGGAAACAGTGCATATTTAATGATCCTCTCATTATTAATAATATATAGGTACTGTTGATTCCGAGTCTATAAAAAAAAAGAAAATATTCAAATACCTACATTTTTTAATATTAAAGAAGATTTAATGTGCAGCAGGATATCAGTTTTAAGGAGCTGAATTTGTATTATCAAAGAGATGGAATTAATAAAATTATATTGAATTTTCTTGGAATAATGGCCTTTCACTCTCTATACCCATCATAAAGAAACTTTCCATCAAACTTTTCCTCTCATCTCGAAAGATACTTTTTTTATATGGGAAGTTACTTACACGTGTACCGGCCGCCTTTTGTCGGCTCGAAACGTCCAATAAAAACATTTTCAATTAAGGACTTTTCTGGTAAATAAAATTTTATCGACAAGCTTTAACATCTTCGTTTCTTCTCGTCTTAAAAATCAACCGTTAAATTGTCAAAAGTACATAAAACTTTTCCAAAGCATAAAACAAAACTTTATTTTACGGCGCCGGAAGAAGTTATTAAAACGGCTTTTTTCGATTAGAATTTCGACTTTTATGATAATTTGAATATTTTCTGAAAATCAACATTAAACGCTCCCTGCGTTTAACTTTTAGGAGTATAATTAATCTGGATTAATACAATGAATAATTCAACCTACTATATGTTTTTTAAAATTCCCAAAAATAATATTTAATTAGAACGTTGAATTAAACCAATTTATTTTATCAGCTCCATTTGAATACTATAATTGTTAAAATATCCGTTATACGAGCGATTAAATGTGCACGTTCGCAGCGACACCAGCTCGTATTTTTTTAATAATCCGCCCGAAATTAAATCAGAAACCGTCGAAAAACAAATCGGGATTGAAATTTTATTCAGAAAAATACGACGATTCGCCGAGTAATAGGTCGGCGGGAAAATTATCATGCCTCATGTGGAGTCGCTTTAATTAAGAGCGGTCATGAATTCGAACAGAAATACGTATATAAATATTCATAAATTGTTGCGGGTCGCATTCACGCCCCAGAGATGCGCTTAATTAACTTCTTTTTCCGCGCTGACCGAGAAGCAGCTCCAAGGATTATTCCGATATTTCATACCGTAACCAAAACTCATTGGCGTACGAATTATTTTAAATTAAATAATCTCAACCTAAGTAGCAACCCCTTTGCGAACGAATCGGCATTAGGAAAATGCTGATTGAATCGGGAAAATATCAATCCGGATTTTTCTCGGACCCTCCGTCGCCCTTACGGGAAAATTCGGATCGTTTGGAAAAAAATTCCCCTGCACACCCTTTTTATAACGAGATATCCGGCACTCGACCAAACACAATTTCGTCTCGAATTGTTACAAAACAATTCCCACTCTTTCCGATTGTCTTCCCTTTTGCACATCGGGCCCCGTCGTAATCAAACATTTTTCCTCCTCGCGCTGTCGAACTGTATCGCAAACGTAATTTGTTTTCTAACTTCCGAAATCGACCCGATCTGAAATGGAAATATCCGCTAAACTATACAGTGTATTAGGGAAAACCCGATTCGAATTCGTTTCCGCATTTCCGCGGAGATACCTGGTGAAACAAAGCCGGAGGAGGAAGAGATGATCGGCGGATACGCGAATCGAGAAGAGATATTTGATATGTAGTTTCGAATACGAATGGAAGTTGCACGTGCCCCGTTTTTTATTTCAATGAATAAAATACCAATATCGAGATATTCATATTTTGGATATATCGATGTTACGTTTGATTGGTTCCATAGATACTCGCTTTACCCGAAATGTAAATTGCTTTATTTAATTTTAGATTCGGAAAGACTTGTTTCATAGAACTTGATTGAAATCCTAGTTTTTTTATGGCAAGATTAATTCATTCGATTGGTTTTGTTCGGAAAAGAACTGCGCCAATAACGAGATAAAAGCCACTGCAAACATCAAAACTCCAATCTCTCATCAATTTCATAAACAGAGCCGAAACAAAAGGGAGCAATCCGCCGCCGGCGTTTTTGTCAACTACTACAAAAGGTCCTTTCAATAATTCCGCCAGTGGCGAGTTTTCCACGCGGAAAATCTTTTGAAACGCGCGCGAAAAAAGCGAAAACAATGGCCCGATGCAATCGATTAGTAATTAGCATTCATCGTCGGGGAGATGCGACGACAGCAGCACTTTTTTTTTGCTCGTTTTTCGTTTATATACCTATTAGGGGTTGCTTTTTTTCTCGCCGACAACGAATTACTGACCAACGTTTCACCTTTCGCCGGCCCCCATTTACATTCGTTTACTCTCCAAATAAACTACCCTTCGTTAAATTTATCACGCCCCGATTTGATTTCTCTCCTTTTTTATTCTTTAAGTGATCGCAATAAATTCCGGTTCTTTTTGTTTCGTGATAAAGGGTGACGATATTTCCTCGGCGCTACACAGTATAATGATTATTCAAATTATCGCCGTGAAAAATTGCCGGAATAAATCGTTTAGATTAGAAAGAATTAAATTGAATTTGTTCGAAATACCTCCGAACCATGGTTCATTGTCGACGGAAATTTATTATTTAGTTTTTTTGCACTGTTCATATTAATTGTATTAAGCTCTTTATCATGAAAAAAGAGCGAGATTTCGCTTGGGCCGTGAAGTATCATGATCTAATGGACCATGATCTAATGGATCATGATTTGATGGACCATGATGATATGATGAAAATGATCAGGGTCAGCATCATTGAAACAGAGAAAAAAAGAGGTACAAAAATTGGGCCGAATTGGGCATTGGAGTTTAATTAGTAGAAGCAATTAGAAGGAACGTAATTTAACTAATAGTAACGACAATTTCATGTATCGACGCACTCGGCAGATTGCCGGATTCGGCAATTCCGACAGATAGCGCCAATCGGCGAATATAAATCCTAACCTCAACCTACAAATCAATTCCTCTACCATCACTCTAGGTTTCGCTCATACCACGCACACACACACACACACACACGCTCGCGTACATACGCCCCTACTGGAAATTAATTACAGGGAGGCGCGTATCGCGAATCGAACCGGTCGCCTTTGTTAATTGAATTATTTGCAAGACAAGTCTTAACTACGCACTATTAAACATTTACATCCGCCGTTCCTGATATTTAATACCTAGTTCCGCGCGTTTGATATTCGCTGAATAATTTATGTTCGCTCTATGATATGGTTTCTGGCGAATTCGTATATCTATTATTGGAAAATCCGTCACGCAATAGCGAGCCTGCACGCGTCACTGGTTGAATGATTGATTGACTGGATCGTACCTGAACAAAAAACGCATTGGGCTATAGGCAGAATGTTTGTTGGTATCTATTTCAAATTCAACGAATATACATAGAGGAGAAAACGTGCGCTTTAGTGGTATCCAGTGAATTAAAGGGCGCATTCGTGGGTACCTAAGTGAATAAAAATTTTAAACCACGCTAAAATATTAGACAGTAAATCACCCTGTAAAGCTCGAGTCCGGGACATTTTTCATCGAACGGTGCTACAAGAATTGCCCACTTAGCCGTTTAACTCTCCCGGCCGGGGAAAATTAAAGACCAACGGGGAAGTACGCGAGGGCGATTCCATTTTATACATACATACGAGCGCTGCTTCGACACCTCTCTTCGCGTTTAATTATGACAAGAGAGCGCGCAATAATATATTCAAACCACTCCGAGGCAGTAATACTGAGTAGTAATGCGAAGTTACGACTGCGGATCCACTTAAGCGAGCGTATAAAACAGAAGCTTCGTCGAGTGTCTTCCAGCCATCGATTTCAGGAACGGACTTGGCTTTTTCCAGGGATTTGGGCGCCTATTAGTTTGCTCTAATTGTGGTAACTACCTTCAGTTAGGATGGGAATCAAACTGCTTTAACCCAGGATCTAAGTTAAAGTCTCTAAGGGAAATTGTTTAAATACATTTAAATATACTCTTGGTGAACACAAATCCTAATGTCAATTACCTCGTATTTGTTTAGTATCTGTGGGAGTTTTTATGGTAGTTCATTAATTGAATCTTATATGAATATAATCGATTTTAAATGAGTTGAATTGTTTACTTTTATACATACATAGAATTATTTACATTTTACTGTCTACTTTTAGACTCGTTTATCGAAGCAATTCAATATTGATTATGCGCACAATTAACTTCTTTTGCATTGACAGAGTTGAACATGGGTCGGTAATTTAGATGCAGTTGATATATTTTTTCTTTTCGTTGTGTCATCGATGCATTTAGTAATGTCATATTACTAAATTCTTTACGGCATTCTTTACTTAGTAAAATTTTATGAAAAATCTGTTTTCGTGCTATTAAATTGCGACAGTTTATGAGGAAAGTCGAGTGTTTTGATTAGGTCCGGACGGTGAATTTTCATACCTTTTATGAAAATGAGGAACAGACTTATATTTCAGTATCATTTCATAATGCCAGTTTGTTTCGAGGATTTAACGGTATTATCGTTATGAAGAGACCATTCATATTTCTAAGGCCCTACGTAGCAATGGAATCGTTTTAATTAAAGACGGGCAATTATGCTAGATAGGAAAACCAGTGGCGTATCTTACGTATGGAAGTGTGTTTGATTTATTTGAATTACTATTTACAGAGAAAACTCAGTTAATGAACATAAAGAACATACAATCGTTGCTATAAATTTTGATAATAACTAACGCTACTGAATGTATAGTTTTTAAATACTTATTTCGCGAGATGGTAGTAAATTTCGCAAATTAAATCCGTTTGAAATATATTGCAGCTTTACTATCTGGTGAATTTCGAGCGTTTAATCAATTTCACTGCAGAATTTTAAGTCAACACGTATATTGTACTTTATGCGTCTTTTCTAAAGCGAGAAAATTTTATTATCATTTATATTTATAGATAGTACCTAAATTTTCTAGGTACTACACCTATATCTAAAAAATTGAAAAAATCGAATCCTATTAAATAAACACAATTCAGAAGGTCGAGACATCCGACCCCTTACTGATTTCTGTAAACCTTAAATAGACTTTTCTGACGTAAAAAAGAGTTGAAATATTCTGATATAGAAGTAGTAAAATTTCCCATTTCCGTGTTACAGCCGCACAAAACTCGGCTAGTTTATGAAGGTCCCTTCTTCGACCCTTTTACACCGCACACACACACACATACACACCAGTCTAGAACTTTATGGAAAGTGGCGTCGAATTTTTACGGTTTTTCGATTTTGTTATGATTGTATTTTTTTTAGAGCGCCGGGAATATAAATTCTCGGTTATGTCGAATCGAAATCGAACCGAAGAGAATATTTCTCTCGCGAAATGCGCACTTCTCGCGTTTATTTTTATTCGAGGCGTTACGGAACGCGCTCACGTCCCGACCCCTCCAGGAACTTTGAATAACAATATTAACAATCAAGAACGCCCATCGGTGAACTTATTTTAACCGAACTTCCACAACTTATTACAATCGAGGTAAACTGGCGTAAACGCTCAAACCGGCTCTTCTTTTGCTTTGTTACCAATCTGGCTTTTATTCGTTCTGAAAGACTCGGGATTTTTCATTTTTTTTATTTCCAGTTTCACCATTAATAACAACTAAAACTGCAGATTTACTGACTCACGGTAGTTATAACTCAATTAGCGACTCTTATGCGTTGTTTTTTTTATTCAAATTTCAAAGATTTCACACTGATATCGTTGAATTTGTATTACATTTTCTAGAATGTTAGTAACATAATTAACCTCGCAATATCCTCGAAATGAATATTTAATAACACTAAAACTATGCTGCTATAGAGACGTCACGCGATTGTCCTTTTCGAGTTGTGCAATAAAGCCCTTAGTAGTGTTCCAGAAGTTCCGTTATTGCTTGGGCGGAACTATTTCAACTATACGCAAATAAATTCCTTTATGTACAAATGCAGCTATACCATACTTTCCAGGTAAAATTTCCGTATTTGGTATCGATGTATAACCATGCATCCTGAAGATTACTTGCGAGCAATATCGACAGAATGCAGAGGTCGATGTTGAATATTTCCTGCCATTGTGTATTTCGAACGGCAAGAAGCGAAGTTGAAATTGTTACGAAGTTGAGGTGGTTTTTTCTTTTGCTATTGAAATGAATTTTCTACACAGGGTGTATGAAATATGCGCGTTTTATATCTCCTATTATTAAGGAAAAATGTTAATGGTATTTTTTTTTGATTTTGCAGTTGTTATTGCGCAAGATATTCAAGCGGTAGAAGGAAAAAGCGTCAGTTTACCGTGCGATGTCATTCCGCCTGGTCATGATAAAGTGTACATGGTCTTTTGGTTCCAGTACGGCTCTGGATTTCCAATATACAGGTGAGTTTTGAATTTCCTGTATTTAAATTTATTATACACTCTCGTTTATTAATGCATCATAAATACTTTAAGTATTTACATCAAACATTTCATAATATATTTATTACTACTATTATAGAGTTACTAGATTTAAATATTTGCTTATAAAAAAGCAATACCGTTTAATTTTCCTTAAAACGTAACATTTCCGCTACGACAAAAATACATTCCTATTTATTGCACGTCATTTAAATTCATTGCAGCTGGTTTCAAAGTTAATTAACCAACAGAAAACACGACCGAAACTTTAAAAATAAAGGGAAACTTTGCGGTAAAATACTAGCGACATGACAAAATTTTATTCGAATTCATATCGTCTAATTTGAACGAATAAATATGGGAATTCCTGCAAACAGTTTCCGGGATTAAATTCTAATCGAAAATAGCGTTATCCTCGAACCGGCTTAACTCGTTTATAATAAAGTAGCAAATGTGGTGCATTAAAATATCAGAAATTATTAAACCGTATTAATACCGTATATGGTATTCGAATTTGTGCGATATTTGTTTTCCGCCTGAAAACCCCAATTTAAAATGCGTAGGTATATCAATAAGGAAATTTGAGCTTATTCTTCTGTTCGAGTAGACCTTTTAGAATTTAACAAACGTATTCGATTACAATATCATTTTCCGACCAACTGGAGTAAAATAAAATAAAACGAAAAAAAACCCACATAATGATCAATTCAATTTAACGTAGAAATGATACATAAATCCGTTTAATCAACCGATAATTCGATAATCGCTAATTATTCCCATTAAAATTATTTATCGCCGCCGATTGTTTTCGATAAATTACGATTCATGCGCGTCGCGACGCCCAACATGCTTTTTCCTTTTACCGTATAATTGTTATAATTAAACGCATTATTAAAAAACTACAATGGATCATTCGAATTCTGCAATTTAAAATACCTGTAAGTTTCACAATGCGCAATTATTTGCAATATGCGCCGATTACAATCGTAATAACCATTATAATTAATTTAATATTAAATTGCAACAATTTATTAAAATCGTGTCAGGAGGAGGGGAGTCATAATAATTTACCTAAATATGGGAATAAACTATTTTATTTTTGGTTGTAACTAATTTTTAGCAAATCGATTTCTCTAAGTGCTTCTCATTAAATCCTCGTTACAAATAGTAACAGGATACTTATGCCGGTTATTTTTCTAAATAAAAATAACTTTAATTGCCCATAAACTTTTTACCGCCGTCTATTTATCTTAATAAGAGGACCCGGAAAATGCACGGGCGCCGGATGGCGTATAAAACTGGACATAAAACGTCAAAATTAATGTTAGATATGGTAATAGAAGGGCCCCTACACTTTGTAGACGTAATGTCTTGATAACGGTCGCGCCCTTCGCGTCCCGCGCCCGAAAAAGGGTTGCTGGTAATGGCTTTTATGCGGATTAAATTATATCGGGTATACATTTTTACGACGAAATCAACCGTGTTTACGTCTATGAGCTTAGTTTCTGTTAGGCGGAGCTTTGGCGTGGATTTTAGTAATCTACACTAGGGATAGATTTGCTTAGTTGGAACTCTCAAATTACTCTAAAGTGGATTCAAAATGAGTGAAATTATAAAGTTTGTTACAAGATTTGGTCAAAAAGGTTTCAAAAGTATTGAAATTATACTCCAATAATTTTTTTATTCACATGATTTGATTCACAATGAGTTATTATTTCGCAAGTATTTTTTTTCTCCGTAAATTGGTTGTTTTTTCAGTCGAACTTTTTCCTTATCGGTCCTTATCATGGAAATATCATTTATGTAACGATGCTGCTCGATTATTTAGCCGAACGGCATCGAAAAGTGAGCCGATCGAACGAAAATTAATATTCCCTTTTTTCCTGCTGAAAAGAAGCGCGCGTTTTCGAATGCGACCGAATGGAAAATAAGAAAAAAAAATAAAGAACTCAATCTAACTTTCGGTCGGGGTGAGCCTCGTTCGACATCAAAAGCAAAAGTAAATTTAATCGGAGCGTACACGGTAAAAACGAAAGTCGTTTCAAACACAACGCGCAATAATTGCGAAATTAATGGACGATTTTCGGTCTGATGAAAGTCTAGACTCGTTCGAATTGTTAATATCGAAATTTTAATTAAGTTTCTTTCTACAATTTGATAAATTATTAATTTCCTTTCGTTTGATCATGATTAAGTAAGTAGAAATATTTATGGTGATAACGGTTACATTATTTCAATTCGGAATTTACTTGCATTGTCTATAAAATAAGTTTTTATTTTTTCAACCAAATTGGATTATCTTAATGCTTATGAAACAAGATTACTTCGACATTATCGGATGTTACCAAGCACCTGCCTGAGACGAAACTTCCTACTACCTATAATACATTTTTTCCGGACACGTCGCCGCCGTTAAAGACGCCCGGAAAGTTCGTAAAAGTTTCACAATCGGCTTAAAACTTTCATGTACACCAGTGTTAATGTTTGTCAAATTATTAAATAACGAAATTCGGAAGTTGTCGCTTACGCCGGAGCTCTAATTTCAATCGCCTTATTTACTCCAATAGAAAATCCATCAGAAAATTATAGATGTATCGAAGAACCTCTCCCAAATTTGCATATACACTAAATCTCTATTAAAACGAGCACCAAACAGACGCAATACAATTATGTCATTCAATTAAAATTCAAGACATTTAACTCAGCCAGCCTCTCGGGTAATAAAGTAACAAGCGCCCTTTACCTTTACCGCCCCTTCCCGCCCCCTCGACATCAACGTGCAAGTATGACATTGTTATTTCTATTAGACGATTAGCATGCGAATAGAGCCGTACACACACATTCCGTATACAATAATAACGTTGTTAGAGAGCTCCAGGAGTTTATTTCAAAAGAAAAACTTTGCCATTATGAAGACACTACAGAAGTAAATTTAATAAGCTTGTTGCGGTTTTGTTGTTGTTGTTTTTTTAGTAAGAAAACGTTGGTAAAGAAGAATTATTGAGTGCTCGTTAATTTATAAGTTAATAAGATTTTATTCGTATTTATCGTGAGTTTGAAAATGCAAAACACAAAAAGTCCAGTGATACATGAAATGGAAGTTATTATGTTTTTTTAATTAAAAAAATGTTACTCAAAGGACCAAAACGCCTTAGTTATCAATTTCTTTAGAAATAAAGGTACATTTCACGGTTATATAATTGTATGAAATATGAATTGCAACTGAAAATGAAGACGGATTCCTTTTTCGCAATGGAAATTCTAACAAAAGCATTCATTCGACGGCTCGAAGAAACTTCGACGTAAATCCTTCAAAAGCGTTTTAATGTCCGGAAAATTATCAATATATTATTCAAATAATGAAGTCAGTTCCGCCCGATTTCCAAGTTCCGCGGTCTATATTTCCCAGCAAAGGAATATTAAGAGACAGAATAAAGGCGAAATTTATTTAGAGACCCGCAGCTCCGCCGCGGAATTGTCTCAGTAATTGAAGTTTCTCCAATTTCTGCGAACGCTAAGGTCTCGGTAACTTCACCAACAGACGTCGTAAACAAAAAAAATACACAACAAACAACTCCATAATGCAAAACTTCTGGCATCTGAATCTGAATAATATTTATCTAGGTGCACGTTCGACGTTGTTTATTTTCCTGATAGTCGGGAAATATATAGGGCTAGAAGTTTATCAAAGGCGCAATTCGCGGACGGACGAAAATGTTTTAAAAGTTAATTAACGCAGCACAAACGGTACGATAAATTAAAACGCAGCTAATTAATTAAACGCCGAAGTGCTCCGGTAAACAAACTATGAATTAAATTTCAAACTAATTCATGGATGAATGTTTGTTTAAACAATATAGGTACCTACTGCAACACTCTAGTGCACTGTTCGTAGGTAGATAAATTAAAATTACTCCGCAATTGCGGATGAAAATTGATCGTTATTATAAAGCTTCATGTTTGTACAGTAGGTACATGTAAATAAGGGTCAACAATAGTTTAAATTGTTTGTAATTGTTTCTAATCATTAATTATTTATTATTCTGTAAATTCTATACACATACAAACATCTTTAAAATTTATATTTTAAACATATTTAGCTCTATTTTAGTCTTCCCATATTCTTTCATATAAACGTAGCAAAAGTCACTGACTGATTGATAACTTTTATGATTCTTACCAAGTGCATGAGTATATGTAGTAGATAAACTTCCGAACTGCCTTTCGTATAAACAAAAGGAAAAACGTCTTTGGGAATAAAACGAAACTTCTCGTTATTTATTCAGTATATCTCGTTTCGCGGCGTCGTCGGTATCAGTGCATAAGATACATAAATTCATATCCCTGTAGGGATAATCTAATTCGAGAGAATCATAAAAAGGTGTTAGCGGAATTGCGGGAACAACGAGGGGGATTTTTTTACGCGGCCGTAAAGCTTAAGGGGGCGGCGACCGCATCTCGCGAAATGAACGTATACAATGTTATCCGACTTATAGCCGGGAAGTCGGGTCCGGGGGCGGCTGTTCGCCGGAATCGTCCCTTCGGGGTGCGTGCAGTTTATGAATTGCAAATGCGGTTTTTATGAGCCGTATAGAAAAAAATATCGCTGATGATGGTTTTACGAGGGGCGGTCAATATTACCCTATAACTGCACCCTTGATTTACCTAATAGCTCAACTTTTGTTTTCGTTAAAATCTCTCGAGTGTTTTTGCTCTTAAATGAAAAATTTATTTACCAACAACGTAAAAACCACTTTTATTCCACCGTATATAAACGATGCGCGGCTTCGGCGTCGTTTTATAATTTATAACTTTCGAAATTTCTCGTGTATCGTAAAATAACCTGTTTACCCTTTAAACTGAAAACCATTTTTTGATAGTCGCATTTCGTTGGATCGTAAATTCGAAATTTTACTGCCGCTCTAAATTCAAAATTGGCCCCTGTATAATACACGACAACCACGGAATTCACGGGCATTTCATGAT